CGCTGGGGGAGATCACTGAGGGAGAGGGGAATGGGGGTGGTCATTGGGCGAAGGTGAATGGGGATGATCACTGGGGGAGGGTGTGATCACTAGGAAGAGACAAGGTGACCAGGGTCTGGAGGAAGGACACGGTGGGGAGATCTCCAGGAATCCAAGTGGCATGACTGGAGTTGTACAGATTCAGGATGCAGTAGAAAATGAACAATAGAAGAGAGGAGGAAAAGATGAGGAATCCAGAGAATTGGAAATAAACAGGGAAAGGGGTAGCAAGAGGGAAGAATGTGGGGAGAGAAGAACAGCAGCAAAGGTCAATAAATAGACAACAATGTTTAAGGAAGACCACGTAAATGGTGTAGATGCTTGTGATAGACGAAGAATTAGTTTGGAAATTTTGACTCAAAATTTACAGGTTTTGATGTGGAAATAATTACTTCGGGGAGAAGTTTCCCGAGAGTGCATTCAAGAAGGTGTCTGCTCTGCATTGGTGCTTGGTTATAATGAGAGTCCAACCTGACTTCTTCAGAACTCCAGCAGTAGTTTGCTTTTATTTCTTAGTTGTAACTACTTTGGCTGGTGCCTAAAAGGGTCTTGCTTACATTCGCAGTGGTGCCTTTCATGGGGAAAGCATCCAAGGTGCTTCGAATGTTTAAATGTTAAAAATTAAATAGAGGGGTTTAGAAGGTAAGTTCCAGAGTGTGGACCTAATCTTGTTGGAGGCTTTGACACTACTGGTGTTTGGGGTGGGGGTGGTTAGCAATATGGTTGAAGCAAAGGATTCAAGAGAGTTGCAGTAGAGTTTAAGATCTGCACTAAGACGGCATCTTTAAACCTATCGGTAATGATTGAATTCATCCTATGGTTACAGACCCATGCCAATTGATTAAATGCTGGCTTTGTTGCGCAAATATTGGTGCTAGGGCAGCGCAGGGTGTGTTAACATACCAGAAAAGGGTCAACAAGACAGCTTGGAAGGTCCATATGCATCCTTCAAAATGAAAGTACTCAAACGAGGAGGAAACAGTTAACACAAGGAAAATCCCAGCTCGACCAAAAAGGTTTACAGAAGCTATTTAGGCCACTCTGTGCCAAGAATACTGTGGAACTGTTTTTCTGTGACCTATTTAAAGTAAGTGTTTCCATAGTGCGTGGCTGAATTACTGGAACAGGCTCCTGGGGGTTGCAATTTTCTACTGATAGAAAGATGTCTCCTGCCTGGAGAGGAAGCCATTTGAAGGCTTGTCACATCACCTTGGTTTACCAGGGCCTGTAACACTGTACTATTTTAAGTTCCTGATACAGACTCAGGTTGTGCACACATAGTGGAAGTGCACTCTTTGAGAAATGAATCAATTTTATCATATTGATTTTTTTTATTGCAGGTGGTATGACTGGATATGGCTGAAGGCGATTGAACTGGGAGAAATTCTGTGAAATTAGCTTTGCCCAGTTCTGGAAGAACGGATAATCTCAGGAGTGATTGTATGCTGCTGGCAGGTGGTGGACTTCAGTTCTCCCATGGCTTATCAAATGTGCTAGTAACTCTGGTTTGGCAAACAAGTGTAAGAATAAGCCTAAATAAAAACCGAAAGAACTGTGGATGCAGTAAGAATAAGCATTTTCTGTGACGTGAGGACAAATAATATGTCTAATTCCTTTCAGTGTTTCTAAAACATTCACAAGTCATATTGTCAGGCTGCTTTTGCAATTTAACCTGTTTTCATTGTTTCTGTGCTCAGACTACAGGGTTATTTGTTGCTTTTCAGGATCACAAGGATCTTCAGGTTCCCACTGCATTATTTTCTGTTGCAGCACCACTGTCAGTAGATTCTTAAATTAACTTATTCAATTTAATCCACTAATACCGGATCTAGCCTCAAGTACTCAGACACCAGGTCTGTTATTTCTTGGACTTGATAGAGTATAAATATCATAAAACTGTTGGGACAATAAGGTGTCAGTCTGTGCTCAGAATTGGAGCAATATGTTTAACCTGTTGCCCTTGTGCTTATCTGAAGTGGAATAGAATCAAGAGTTGGCAACTAAATTGTGTTTGTGACAGGAAAGTGCTTGCAATAACTCACCAAGGCATTCTGTTTTAATCAGAAAGCTTGGTGTACATTGCGATAACCAAAGGTTCATACGTGGGTGCCTTTGCCTGTTGTGATGTGGAATATGCATTTGGGAAACATTTAGGTGGAATTGATGCACTGTGTCTATTTCTGGGGTCAAATCACATGACACCAGGTTGTAGTCCAACAGGTTTATTTGAAAACACAAGCTTTCGGAGTCTTACTCCTTCTTCAGGTGTTAGTGAGACAGGTAGTATCAGACCCAGAATTTATAAGTAAAGGATTAAGGGGTCTATTTCCGGGGATGTTTTTCAGAGCAAGTTGAATCCATGTTCTCCGGACGAGGCCTGAATGTTAAGTTAACATTTGGATCAGGCTCCCCTTCATCTCGAATGTGAGATCTTTTACATCACTTTGAGAGAAACTTTAGTTTAACATTTCATCTGAAAGATATCACCTCCAGTTAGAATGAACTCCCACCTAAAGTATTAAGGTTTAAAATCACATTGAGTGGGATATTAGTATTCTAGTACTAAGCCAAGATTATTACCTTAAGAATCTTAGTGTTGAATCTTTGTGATGACTGAGTGATCTCTGCCTTGTGGTTGGATTAGAGTTATGGTAACAATGGACAGAGTTACGAAGACGGTTCTGTTGTGTTGTGGCCTGCAGACATGTGCTTGTGTTTGTGTTGGCAACAACAAAAAAAGGGTAAATCTTCGATTGAAAATGCACTAATCCTAAAATTGAAATATCCCAGGATATCTTGAGAAATGAGTTTCTGATTTGCCATGCAGCAGTTTTTAAGAAGGGGATAGCAGCAGTGTGGCGGCCTGTAATTGAGTGTTGGCATGGGGATCTCGTCAGTGTAACCAGTGAGAAGATATACGAACAGTCAGTGTGATGCACCAGATAGGGAATGGAAAGAGGCCTTGAGATCAAAACACAAAGAAGCAAATTGCCTCTTTAGGTTAGCCAACAGGTAAAATCACAGCAAAGAGCTGAGGAAAAAGATGGGTATTGTGGACAATGTCCATGATTTCTCAGATAGTAGTGTCGGATGTGCGTTTGTCAAATATTTTCTTTAAACAGAAATGCTTTAAAATCTATATTAATCTTACAGCCTCAAATTTTGCAAATAACATATTAAACATGAGAGCATTTATTTTCCTAGCTTTTTAATAATGTGTTGTTGGTCTGATTTTAATCCAGCTGTAGGTGACTATCTCTCTCTTCACTGACTATAAAAGTGGAAAGGCTGAACATGGCTCCTCGGGATATAATGACCAACTCACATGCCAAGTCCATTCTTAACACGATGAACTCTCTGAGGAAGAGTAACACCCTGTGCGATGTCACTTTGCGAGTTGATAGCAAGGACTTTCCTGCTCATCGTATTGTGTTGGCCGCTTGCAGTGACTACTTCTGTGCCATGTTTACCAGTGAGGTAAGCTGGCTATGAATTTGGCTGTAAAGGTTGGTTCCTCCTTTCTCACAGCAACACTAACATTCGTCAGCTTACCAACTTAAGTCAAATGAAAAGCAAAGGTATTAAGGAACCATGTTGGGGAAGATTGTTGCAAAAGCTTCAGCCTTTGTTTGATGTGCCAGGCACCCCTATCATTGAGGATAGGAATGTTTATAACATAATCTCCTCCAATGAATTGTTTATAATTCTCCACCATTATTCATGGCTGAATGTGTCAGGTCTGTCGAGCTTAGATCTGATCTGTTGGTTGTGAGATTGCGTAGCACTGTCATTTGTTTCTTGTGCAGTTTGGTTTGCAAGTAGTTATGTTTGCAGCTTCCCCAGGTTGGCACCTCATTTGTAGGTATGCCTAGTGCTGCTCTTGGTATGCCTTTCTGCACTGCTCTTTAGAGTTGGTCCCTTGGCTTGATGGTGATGGTAACTTCGGGGTCATGCCAGGCCAGGAGGTTGCAGATTGTTTGTTTTTGAGAACTTAACAGATGCCTAATCTTGAGTTGCTATATTTGTTAAAAGTCTTTTTTTTTTAAGCACAGTGGTTGTGCTACGCAACACGATAAAAGATATAATTGTTTTGAAGACTTTTACTTCATTTCCACAATGACTGTGCAGTGGTTACTCTTAGCAATACTGTCATTTCCTCACTGTCTGCCACAGACCTAGTCTAGCAGCTATGTCCTTTATCAGCTCAGTCAGTTTTGCTGCTGCTGTGCTACACTTGGTAATGGATGGTGAAGTCCCCCACCAACAGTACGTCCAATGATTTTGCCAAGCTTAGTTTCCTCCAAGTGTTGTTCAACATGGAGGAGAACTGTTTTATTGGTTGAAGTTGGAGGAGAAGGGTCTGAGATGTCATGGAAATTGCCATGAGGATGCAGCAGAGTTTGGCTATGCCCTGAATAATCAGAATCTACCTGCCTGGTCTGAGAATTAAGATTGACAGTTATGTATTCTTGCTGCATCTCCATTCCAGTTATGGCCCAGCCAAACAGGACCCCCTTATTTTGTATAAAATGGTGTATCTTTTTTTCAAGTCAGTTTCTTGTGTCCTAGCAATACATAAAGATCCAACTTCTAGTCTCCTCTTAAAATGTTTAAGTTCTAAACTAACAAACATTAGTTGATAACAGATTCCCTTGTTACTTTTGAAATAAATCACAATGGAATAATAATTGAGGAAAACAAGCAAGACATGTAAAATTACAACATTTTTTTCCTTTGCACATTAAAATCACAGTGTCTTTTTCTCAGTATATCCAACAGTTATATCAGATAGCTGACTGCTGTTATTCACCCATTTTAATCTGGAGATGTCTTTGTTCTCCAGCACCTGTTTTAAAACTGCAATATTGATCTTCCATTGTGTTGTGTAGCACAACTACTGTGCTTAAAAAAAATAGACTTTTAACAAGGTTTTGGAGTAGACTTGTGGCTCGGGTTGTGGGTGTTGAGGTTGGTTGGCTCGCCGAGCTGATTTGTTGTTCCGCAGACGTTTCGTTACCGTGCTTGGTAACATCCTCAGTGCAGCCTCTGATGAAGCGTTGGTGTGTTTTCCCACCTGGCTTTTAAACTCTGGGGTCCGTTGCGATGGATTGCCTCGCTTCCGGGTTTCCTCCGTTGTGGAATGTATATGGGGTCGAGTTCAATGTGTTTATTAATAGTCTGCTTCGTGGAGTGCCATGCTTCCAGGAATTCTCGTGCTTGTCTCTGCCTCGCATGTCCCTGGATCTTGGTGTTGTCCCAGTCGAAGTCGTGGTTCTCCTTGTCCATGTGGATTGAGATGAGTGAGTATTGGTCGTGTCTTTTTGCAGCCAGTTGGTGTTCATGTACTCTCGTTGTTAGTTTCCTTCCTGTTTGTCCGATGTAGTGTTTCTCGCAGTTCTGCAGGGAATCTTGTAGATGACATTGGTCCTGTCCATGGCGGGGAGTGGGTCTTTAGTTCGGGTGAGCACTTGTCGGAGGGTTGATGTGGACTTTTAACAAATATAGCAACTCAAGATTAGGCATCTGGTAAGTGCCACCAGCAACAAAATTGTTCTCAAAAACAAACAATCTGCAACCTCCTGGCCTGGCATGACCCAAAGTTACCATTACCATCAAGCCAGGAGATCAACTGTAGTCTTCTTTTACTCTTTTTTTTAGTGTACCTTATCCCTTTGTGACTTAATATCATTGTAACACTGAATGGATACTGTTGGGTATTTTTGCTAAGAAAAATGCATATCTACCTCCTCACCAAAACAAGGTGGACTGGGTTGGACAAAGTCGGAAGTCACATGACACCAAGTTATAGTCTAACAGGTTTATTTAAAATGACAAGCTTTCGGAGCGCTGCTCCTCCATTAGGTGGAGTGGAGAGAGGCGCACAGGCACTGAATATATAGACTTAATATATAGAATTTATAGGCTGCTTGTATATTCTGTGCCTGTGCGCCTCCCCCCACTCCACCTGACAAAGGAGCAGCGCTCCGAAAGCTCGTGGTTCTAAATAAACCTGTTGGACTATAACCTGGTGTCATGAGAATTCTGAATGTCACCAAAACGACTTTTGGCCACTAAAGTTCTTCTGGTCATTTTTTTTCCTTTACTTTCTCTACCCGGAACCATTATCCCACACAACTGAGCACCTTCCCGCCCCCCAAAATCACCATGACTTATTTTATATCTGGTAACCACCACCAGTAAAAACACTTGTATCTCCAATATAACACAGTGTGGAGCTGGAGGAACACAGCAGGCCAGGCAGCATCAGAGGAGCAGGAAAGCTAATGGTTCGGGTCAGGACCCTTCTTCAGAAATGTGTCTCCAATTGTCTTCTGATCTTTTAAAACTTTTGTTTTTTTTATTATATATTTTTTATTATTATTTATTATTCTGATTTTTTTTTTACCTTGCTAAGCTGAAGGGCAACACCTGGGTCTCTTTACCACAAGAAAGATGATAAACCTTCCTGCACTTGCGAACCCGTCACAGATTTCCATTACAAGCATCAATAAAAATAAGAAACTTCTTGTTCCTGGCATTTCCTAATGATGGAAACTTCAAAATACAGTACTTCATTTTTAATTTTTTTAAATGCTGTGTCTGCTCGAATAATATCTTCCACCTTGGGAGTTTTCAGTTCTTTCGATTTTAATACTTCAGAAATGGCATCTGGCCTTGTTTGATTGCCCAGTCAATTCAGTTTTCCAGTTAGATTTCACAATTCCTCCACTTCAGTGTTCAAAGGTGCTACATTAGTCTACTTTTAATAACAGTGGGGCTATAATTAAGGATGGCAGATTTCTTTCACTAAACAACATTAGTGATTTTTATTTAATGGCAAATTTCAATGGTTTCACAGTCATCATTAGACTTTTAATTCCAGTTTTTAAAATATTAATTTCACCATCTGTTGGCTTTGAATCCCAGTCACCGGAACATTATCTGGGTCTCTGGATCACCAGCCCAGCAACAATATCACTGTGCCATCACCTCCCTTCTTGGTGGCTGAAATCAGCTTTCATTATTTTTGAAATGCTCATGGGACTTGAGCATCACTGGCTAGGTCAGCATTTATTCCAATTTCTAAATGCACAGTGAGCTGTGAGTCTGGAGTCATATGTAGCCCAGACCAGGTGGGGAAAGCAAATTTCCTTTCCTGGAGGACAGTAGCAAACCAGGTGGTTTTCTTTTTAACAGCAATCGACATTGGTTATGCAGTTATCATTATTCAAGACCTATTTTTACTATTGGATTCAGATTTCCCTATCTGCCACGGTAGGATTCGATCCCAAGTCCCCAAAACATTAACCTGGGATTCCGGGTTACTCGTTCATTGACATTACCACTATCACCATTAACTCCCCTTTACCTTACTTTGTATGCTCTTTGACGTCCATTGAGAAGGAGTGCTGGTATTTAGATTTGTTAGTCCCAGCCTTTTTTTTCTGTTAGCATTTTGTTTTGTTCTTCACCCTCTTCACTTCCTCCTTGAGTATCTCAAACTTCTGACAGTGATTTACCCATTTTCAGACCACTTTTGCTAAACCAGATCTCAGTTTACCCCAGCCAGCCTTTCTCCAGTTTAAAGCTTTTACTCTTGATGTCACTTTATCTTTTACCGTAGCTACACTAAATCTAACCGTATCCTAATCATTATTACCACAGTGCTGCCCCTCTGATATCCCTGCATGCCCAGATTCATTATCCGAGTGTAAATCCAGAATTCCTCCTTCTCTTGTTGGACTTGCTATGTATGCAGTTCTGACTATTTCAAGAATTCAATTCAAATTTTTACGCTTTACCTTTTATCCCAGTTAATATTAGGGTAGTTGAAATCCTTTAATATAACTGCCCTGTTGTTTCTGCACTTTTCAACAAATTACATACATATTTGCTTCTCTGTTTCTCTCTGATGTGAGATCTAAAACAATGTTTGTTTTAAAATTTAATTATATGCTCTATATTGTGTCGCTCCTATAATTGCTTATCCATGGTCCTGTATGCATGATAGTTATTATAAAATACAATCTACACACTATTTTTCTGGCATATAAAGAGAATCATTGATCTGTTGCACCCTCTACCAGATTGCCCCTTTTACGTGCCTCAGTTCGTCTCATAGATGTTCCTTCTACATATTACATATTTGGGTGTACCAGCTGGATGGATAGAGAACTGGCTGGGCAACAGGAGACAGAGAGTTGTAGTGGAAGGGAGTTTCTCAAAATGGAGAACTGTGACCAGTGGTGTTCCACAGGGATCCGTGTTGGGACCACTGTTGTTTGTGATATACATTAATGATCTGGAGGAAGGTATAGAGGGTCTGATTAGCAAGTTTGCAGATGACACTAAGATTGGTGGAGTAGCAAATAGTGAAGGGGACTGTCGGAGAATGCAGCAGAATATAGATAGATTGGAGAGTTGAGCGGAGAAATGGCAGATGGAGTTCAATCCAGGCAAATGCGAGGTGATGCATT